AAGTCACAGCTTAGCCGCTGTGCATCTCCAAGCAAACACAGGGCTGTTTCGTTTATGAATGAATCTGCGTTTTTGAACAAATCTAGTGAGTCAATGATTCAATGACCCATTCATAAAGAGAGTCACTGATGTGACTGGTGCGGCTGACACAGAACAACATACGCTGTTTGCGTTCAGTGGATACTCTCCAAAATGGCGCTAGGGTGACACGGAGGAGACGAATTGTTGGAATAAATTGAGTTTGCAAATGTGAAATTGAATTTATACAACAATTTTATACATTTTTGATTTTATACAAGTTATTATTAAGTGACTTTTTAGGACATTTTAGGAACACTGTTGTCTGATTGTGCTCTATTTTGTCAACGGAAATAGTTCCAAAGTCACAGCTTAGCCGCTGTGCATCTCCAAGCAAACACAGGGCTGTTTCGTTTATGAATGAATCTGCGTTTTTGAACAAATCTAGTGAGTCAATGATTCAATGACCCATTCATAAAGAGAGTCACTGATGTGACTGGTGCGGCTGACACAGAACAACATACGCTGTTTGCGTTCAGTGGATACTCTCCAAAATGGCGCTAGGGTGACTCGGAGGAGAGGAGACGAATTGTTGGAATAAATTCTCGTAGCTTCGTAATATTACGGTTGAACCACTGATGTCACATGGATGATTTTACCGATCTCCTTGCTACGTTTCTGGACGTTGATCGTGGTAGTACCCTTGCTGTCTATGGGAGGCTGTCAGAATGCATCAAAAATATCTTAATTTGTGTTCCGAAGTGAAATGAACAGTTAATGATACAATATATACAGAGAGAACATAAAATATATGCATATATAAAGAATTGTGATTGGGTCAGGTCCAGCCTGGTCTCATTGTTTATACGTAAGTATTAATACGTAACATTTAAAAGCACAAAATTTACATTTTTGTATGTTTTTATTGATGCTAAAACGTACAATTTAGACGTATTTCAACATTTAAAACAAACAAATCGCTACGTATTTTTAGCTAAAAAACGTAAAATATTTACGTATCTTTTATATCATTAGAGGGGTCCTATTATGCTTTTTCACTTTTTCAACTTTAGTTAGTCTGTAATGTTGCTGTTTGAGCATAAAAAAGATCTGCGAAGTTACAAAGCTCAAAGTCCAATTCAAAAGGAGATATTTTATTTAATATATAAGTGCAAATGACAAGTCTCGGTTAGCGGTTCGATATTCGAATCGATGCATTTTTGTAATTTTATCAATAAGCGATTTCGATTTTTAGACTCCTTAACCTACCCCCAAACCTAAACCTACCCATTTTATAGCGAATATAAAAGGATATAAAACGCAATTGACCGAAATATGCAGAATAACCATTTTAGTAACAATAGCATTAAAAATATTTTTATAGTCGCTAATCCCACTCTTACCTCTAAACATAAACATAACTATTTCTGTACTGTATAAGAAAAACATGACAGACAGATAGGCTAAATGCAATTGCAATAATGTATTTATTGCAAAAATGTCAAAAGCAGTACCAAAAGTAATCCAAATAAGGATGCGTTGCACCCGCAGTCCTCTCTGGCAGAATACGACCGTTTGATTTGCCTGCCATAAAACTTGTCGTTTGAAGCGGCAACATTTGCATTTGTAAAGAGCGCGTCAGTCACTAAAGGGCACTTTAAATGTGGTCACCCTAGGGCACTACACTGTGTTAATCTGGGCCTGAGTGTTTTGAGGGCTTAGCTAAACAGGCCAATTAGAGACCATTAATAATCATTCTCATGTTTTTATTAAATCATTCTTTCATTTCACTAATCAATTTTTTTTTTATTAAACACAAGGGGTTATTAATGATGCTTACATTATAACATGTGCAAATTCACACACAATGTATCTTTAATTTGGCCAGAATTGCAGGTGTCTGTCTGAAGGTTTAGAGAAAATATGAAATAAGTTTAATGTTATTATAGATTATAAAGGGTTTTATAATTAAATGCATCCGAAAGGTCATCTAAAATTACCATTATTATCCCCTCCCCCTTTCTAAGCTAGAGTCCCCCCAGTGAATTTTGGCCATTTCCACCTCTGCATAGAGCAATAAGCGCATGAGGTTGTCATGGCAACCAGATACATCGCAAGGCTGCGCTTCTATTTTGCCACACTAAACTTAGTAATAAACACGTTGAAAATAATTCACAATAAACATGTTTGTCAACACGATCTCAAAGGAGGCTTTTATTAAAGTCCCCCTGTAGTCAAAAAGTTTATCCTTTAAAACTCATCTTTGATCATAAAAATGGCATATTTAAATTTTTTTCTTGTGAAAATAATTTTCTCATGCCTTAAAATAGCTTGAATGCAACTCTACACCCTTGCCTCATTTACTATACACGGATCTATGAATACGCAAATTAGCCCCGCCTCCACTCAGTCACACAGCAGCCAGCCATGAGCCAGTGCCTCCTGAACTGTACTGGACTGTAGTAAACGCGATACAATGGCAATGGCAAGTGGAAATATTGGTTTAATTAAGCCATATGTGTTTGAACCAGAAATAAGCTGGTATGCTCAACGTAAGCAAGGAGACTGATGGCTAACTTCATGAGGTAACATTATCTGTTTGCGCTGGTTCGTACACGGATAATGACTGATAAAACTGTTTTTACTAGCGGACAACTACAGTAGATACTGTAACATTCGTTAAATTTACTTACTTTACTATGTTGTGTCCTCAAAATGCCTTGAAGACTCAAATGCAGCCAAGTTTGTGATTCCAAATCGTGCCCGCGATCATACACGTGTGACGTGCGGATGTCAATGCGGGAGAGGTGCGTCTGACTCCGGGCTACTTTTACACTGCTGCCGCGGGTTATTATTCAAGTTAGCGGTTCTAAATACAAATAAATAAGCGCTAACAGCACATGACATCGTGAAAATAGGGGGAAATATTAACAGTTGGCGAAACATCTACAGAAAAAATATAACTGTTACCGGATTAACCTGGCTGCCTTCTCACTAGACCCTTTGCAGCGCAGTTAATGATATGCTAAGGATAGGATCCCTTGACGCGATTGGTTATTGAGTTTTGTGACGTAGCAGAACAAAGGCTGTTTCAAACCGCATTTCTGTGACTGCCTTTGGGAAACTACAGTTTTAAGGAGAAAATACTCAGCAATGGTGTTGATAAATGGATTGGCACATGGTTTGTCTAAAAGCATATTAAAAACAACACATAGACAAATAAACAACATAACTTGATTTTCACCACAGGGGGACTTTAAGAAAATCAAGGAGTGAATTACTCATCCACTGTTTTAAAAGACATTTGTTGGGCTTGATTCAAGTTAACGCACAATGGCAGGTGCACAAACACTTCCCATTTAATAAGTCTTACTAAAACTAGATGATTAAACAGTTTATATTCTAAAATCTATTTTTAGGTTTTGTTCTTTGTAAATTAAATAACATTTGGATGTAAATGGTCTACATAAATGTAGAACACTGAGCCGCTAAAACGGCTGCGTCATGTGGCTCACCTGATTCAGTATGATGGTCCGGAGTCAAACACTGCATAGAAATCTTTATCTGACTTTTTTTGTTATCTCCATATTTCTCTGCAGTTCGTTTATGTTGTAAAAAATGCTGAATATCCTTTTATGGCACACAGCAGGCAAGCATTATACCATATGATTTCCACAAAAAAATTACTTAAAATAGCAATTTAAATGTATTATTAACTACATTATATGCATATTTAATTATTAGTTGAAAATATTTATTTATTATTATTCTTTATAAAATATTTAGTAAAGTGGCTAGGGGTCCATGCCCCCTGGCCCCCCCACAAGCTACGCCCATGATTGTTTGGCTCCCTAAAAGCACCAGTGAAAATAATGTGGACTGAGAAACATAACTGTAACACAGTTCGTAGGACGGGAAGAAGGAGGTGGGAACCGGCGAACATTTAAACCACTTAATAACAAAATAAACAAACACAAAAGTAAAGCGGCAGCCCCTCACAGATGACTGCCGCACACAAAACACAAATAAAGTCCAGGCCTGGTCCTCTCTCGTCTTCCACTTTCGTCGCTCCTCCTTTTATCCTTCCGGAGCACCTCCGTGGGACTCGAGACCGGTGAGTGGCGCAGGTGTCGCTCATCATCATTAAACTCCACCGGCCTCGCTCCTCTCCCACGGCCCTCGGCCCCGCTCCACTCGTCACAATAACTAAAAAGATGTTTGAGTCCAGGGACTTTGCAAATAATTCTGCCAGTGAATACGCAGCCTGCAAAACAATAAAATAAATATCAAAGAAATAATACAGTTAAACAAGAAACTAGCCTAAATAAGAAAGTTAAATACACCCTGTGTCTACCGGACACGAGCTGCGCGGACCGACACGACAAAATACTGTAGAACTCATTATAATCAGTTATGCTACACTGGATGCGGCGCCACACGACTAATCCCCGGCAGTAAACTGCCTTGTCCTGTTTATGAGGTACTAGGGATGCACCGATACCACTTTTTCCAGTACTCGCCCGATACCGATACTGGCCTCGCTCCTCTCCCACGGCCCTCGGCCCCGCTCCACTCGTCACAATAACTAAAAAGATGTTTGAGTCCAGGGACTTTGCAAATAATTTTATTCTTCTTCAATTTGGTTACCAAAAAAGGTCCAACCCCTTTCAGTAACCAAATTGAACAGAATAAATCTTAATTGTATTGACTGAAAAATTATTTCTTAATTTTGCTCTCAAAACCAGATTGATGCATTTAACTTCTGTACAATTTTTGTACAAATGTACAAGATTTTCTTTTGGAAGACATTTCCTCACAAAATCCTGTAGGAAACACAAGATATATGGATGAAAAACCCATATCAATTAACTAGTTCTGTGCTTTCTCCTTAGCTCAGCGCCTGATAAACATCAGTGGAAGAGCAGACAGGATCAGCTCTTCTGTGGGTTCATCTGTCCACTCCTGGAGCTCCAGCACTCCACATCTGAGGACCACGCCTGCACTCTCACTCCATGGCCGAACCCCTCAGAGAGACCTCAACAGTATGCAGCTAACTAAGCCTCTTTCTGTAGTCCTGATTAAATCTTAAAACGAATCATTTCAATTCAATTCAATAGACATTTCCTCATAACTCATTATACATAACTCATTGTACAACTCTTTTAACATAGTGACAACGTCTTCGTCTGCGTCTGCATCTGCGTCTCATGCGGCCTCTGTGATAGTGGCTGTGGTGGAGGGACGTGGTTTAGCTCGGGGGGAGATTGGCATGGCCAGTATCAATGTGAGATGCCCAGAGCTGGTTCTCTCACAGTTTGCAGACACTGGAACTTATGCTAAGGTAAAGATCCATCCATTCTCCAAACCGCTTGTCTTTTGTTGGATCAAGGGTATGGTAAAGATGAAACCTATTATAAATTGCACAAAAAAAAAAAAAACACTCATTTTGACAGTAATATTTAATTGAGTTTAAAACAGCAAAACTGCTTATAAATTTTTTTACTGTACTAAACAGTGTTATGAAACTTAAGTTTCACTATCCACTTAAGTACATATCCATTACATGGCATAATCTAATAGAATTTGCTCCCAGCATGGCTTATTTTAATTAAGAACATTTACAGGGTAAATACAAAATTCATAGATGCTTTAATAATAGGCCATAAAAAAAGTAAATAAAAATATGATGACCCCAAAACTCTCAATAGTGGCTGTATCCATATCCATGCCATAGGCGCACAATGGTTCTTCTAGTTATTAAACTCATTTAAGCAATTCCCCATAACATACAAATAGTATGTTTGAAATGTTTTAATATAAAGTTTATTAAAATGCTTTGCTCTGGGCAATTCTCCAGAACATAGTCCTTCACACAGTGCGCCATGCCAGAAAAAAGATTTTAAAATGACTGCCCAGTAGGGCTGTGAGGGTGGCAGATTTTTACCACCGCGGTGATAATGTACCAACTACCGCCAGTGGCACGGTGTTGATATAGGCCTATATATAATTAATATTAATTATATATA